TTTTTTTTTTAATAAAGAAGTTTTTGTTTCAGGTCATAAGAAAGTGAACGAAGCTAAAGTAAACTTTTTTTTTATTACTGTTTATTTTTACTGACTAAAAAATACAGGATTTTTATTTTGAGCTGTCTCTTCTCATACCTGGGTAGCAGCGCCTCACAGATTACCGGACTGCTTTTGATCTCAAGGTTTTACGTGTTGTATTACCTCTGAAGCTCATCCTGAAATAGGCCCCCTTTTTATAGTATAATGTATTCAGATTGTATTCATATTTATTCATAAAGCTATAATGCACCTCCACAGATCTGTATGATCTCATTGTATAAAAGGAATCATTTAAAACCCCAAGGCGGTTTAGTAAAACATGTTAAACTTTCAGTTCCCAGGTAACTCTGTTAGGAATTGTTGTGTGGGGCAACCGGAGGCTGTCAACTTAAAAAAAGGAAAAAAAAAATCAGGTGAATTGCAGGACAAAAGTGAGTACATAAACAACTATTACAAATAAATGTGCAAATAATATAAATCCATTTTGACCATAAAGTTTCTTAATAATAATAATAATAATAATAATAATAATAATAATAATAATAATAAAATAACTGATTTGAGCTATCATAATTTTTTTCCTATTGACCAGTTTTGTTGCAGAGGACTTTACACTTGACAAAATGCAGAGACAACACCAGTAAAGAATATATGAGTACCAGTATGATTCCTAGCAAATACTGCACTTCTGTGGCTACATTTTAGACTTACTGACCTAAAGATACTTTATTTTTTACTCACTTCATACAATTTCAAATACTGTATTCCCTCGCTACTTTGCAGTTCAACTTGTGCAGCCTCTCACTTTTTTGTGGTTTTTCAGTGCAAGATTGAACATGAGACCCGTCCAGGGTGTACCCCGCCCCTCGCACAGTGATTGCCGGACATGGGCACCGGCGACCTCCGTGACCCAAAATGGAAGAAGTGGGTAAAAGATAATGGATGGATGGATAGATTGTACATGAGTCACGTCACACGATTGTCAACTTTAATATAACTCACGTGATGTTGATGTATGGGATTAAAAGTTAACAAAAAAATAATAATTTGGACAGGCGCCACCATTCTGTAGATTTCCTTCAATAAGCTTATACCGTAACGCAAGGCAAAAAAGAACTACACTACCCAGAAGCCAACACTGCTTCCAGCCGCTGCTTTCTACCGAAACAGAAGGATAATTTTGCAACACAAAGTCAGAAGTAACGCTCTATCTATGAAGCTCACAGGACTGGCAGGAAAGTTGCAAATAATCCTGAAGCTTCCTGAAGCTCCATTATCCATGCACACGTCAATCTGGACGGAGAGGCGGGCTTTGTTGCTGCAGGGTAGTTATGTTGAACTAGAACCGAGCCTGAACGGAACCGAGCTACTGTTCTGCAGAGCTGGTGAGTACTCGTATACAATTTTGCAGTACTGTATTGTCAAGTCAAGTCAAGTCAAGTCAGATTTATTTATAGAGCACATTTAAAACAGAAACTGTTACCAAAGAGCTTAACAAAAATATCACATCATCAAATAAAAAAGTAGCAAGATATATTTACAGCACATGGAATAAAAATATAAAACCGAAAACATAATTAGAAACAATGAAATACTAAATCAGATCACGTTGTGTTAAAAGTCAAGGAAATAATAACAAAAAGCATTAACTCAGTAAGAAACAATGAAATATTAAATCAGATCTGATGACCTTGTGTTAAATAGGAATAATAACAAAAGCATAAACAGAATCAGCATCAATGAAGAACTAGATCTAAATCCGATCACCCTGTGCTAAATGTCAATGAGTATAGATGTGTTTTTAGGAGAGATTTAAAAGCAGAGACTGAGGTGGCCTGTCGAATGTTGATGGGCAGATTGTTCCAAAGTTTAGGGCCCATGACTGAAAATGCTCGATCTCCTCTGAACTTCAGCCTGGTTTTTGGTACGGCCAAAAGCAGCTGGTCTGATGATCTCAAAGCCCGAGAAGGAGCATAAGGATGAAGAAGGTCAGAGAGGTATGATGGTGCGAGGTCGTTAATGCACTTGAAAGTCAGCAGGAGAATTTTAAAATCAACTCTGACACGTACAGGAAGCCAGTGAAGAGAGGACAGAACCGGAGTAATGTGCTCAAACCTGCGAGTTCCTATTGTACAGTACATGTATGCATGTTGTTAAAAATACATACATTTAAGAGTTTAGATCATTCTTAAGAGCATTGCAAGTGAGTGGGAAGGGTTTATAAAGCCTTAATATATATATAAATATTAAAATAAATATAGTATTTCAACTTCACATGGTTTTTCACCTACTGGGGTGATGTCTGGAACATAAGCCCCACGATAATCGAGCAACTACTGTACTGGTATTGTGCATTATTCTATTCAACATCTATTTGACAGCTTTAGTTACACATTATTGTTAGAATAAAGATTTCTCACAATGGCTAATAAAACTTTTCAGCAAATGTGACTCAAAGATTAAACCAGTGGTTTCCTTTCTCTTTAACCAATGTTTGATAGGCATAATTCAATATGGATGTCTGAGAGATGTTAACAACTCCAGGAAATGCTTTTTTCCCCCCCTTGGACTAGTTCTCACACGGCGCCATTTAAATAAATGTTTCATTTGAGTAAATGTTTCAAAGAAATAATTAAATATCTCATAAATTAAAAAAAATATATAGAACATAATCAAACAGTAAGAGCAGATTTAAAACAATTTATCTGGTCCTTCTCAAATTAACTCATGACCTTCTTACATTAAACTACTCCTGTATATTAAACTATAAAGTGCATGAAATATTTCTGACTAGCTTTCATTCCAGCTGCTGTAGCAATGACATGCTGAGGATTTACCAATCTTTCAGAATAATGATAATCTTGTGGTTTAATGTGTAGTAATAAATCAGACAGTTTCAACCAGTATGCTTTCTTTATTAACTTAGCTTATTTAGTTGTTGATGTTCACAACACTTAAAACTTCATTCTGATGAAAATGTACATTATCCTTGTATGTTAATTTGTACTTTAACTATTGTAATGGAGCTAAGATGTACTTGCACGAGTGCACATGGAAACATGAGCCATGAGCAAAAAAAGCAACCTTATCTTCAACAAAGCTGTGTCAATGAGGTGACACTACACATGCACACACAAACACACACACGCATGTTAATGTGCACACAGACACTCAAAACTACCCATGCAACCAGAGGCATGTCTAGTGTCCTAATGACCTGGGCTGTGTGTTTGTGAGGGTGTAAAGTGTGTTTTGAATTAGCAAGAGAAGAGGCAGAAGATGAACTAACGATGGCTGCTAATAATTACAGATCTGTAGCGTGGATGAGTTAATGAGGAGCCAAAGCCTCCCATGATGCCCCAGTAATGACGAATGAGGAGTGAGCGATGGAGGGAGAGAGAGAGAGAGAGAGAGGGGTGGGAGATGTCATTTTGAGAGGCTGCAATGCCCTTTGGTTTCTCTGCACTTTGGGCATGCCAACGAGAGAGGAGCCTTCCCAGAGGAGGCTTGTCTCCACGCTAATGAAGATGTGACAGACCTCCGGTCCGTGACATGCAGAGTATAGGAAAGAGGAGGACGGGACTTGAGGAAAACGACAGTGACAGCTCATCCAAAATGAAAGGAACTAAAAAGGTGAAAGGGCTTTAAAAAGAATGAGACCGTGTTGGTGTCAAAATTTCAAAGACTGATGGGTGATGGTTTTGATGGAGTTTTTAAATTGCAGTAAGTGTCAGTAAAAATTTCCCAAAAGTCTTTATATCACAACCAACACGTCAGTCAATAAAATTATCCCCAGAAATGAAGCAAATAAAATAACAACTCAGTACTTACCAAAGAGCTGGTATAGCTGGGATCAGATGTGTCTTCTTGTAGATAGCGTGACAGACCAAAGTCGGAAACTTTACACACCAAGTTGCTGTTGACAAGAATGTTCCGGGCAGCCAGGTCACGATGGACATAATTCATTTCTGAGAGATATTTCATCCCTGCTGAGATTCCACGTAACATTCCTACCAGTTGGATCACTGTAAACTGACCATCGTTTTGCTGAAAAACAAAGATTAAAACATTTAAAAAATGGCTGTTTACATGTTAGCTTTATTATATTTGACATAAATAGTATTTGCTGAGGATTTTAGGAGTTTTGTAGCAAAAAGGCAGTGGCAATGACCAAATTGTTGGTATTTTATAAAATAGTTGTTGCTCAGCTGACCAAAATATTGAAGATTGTTATATGTTCGTTTAACTCTTGAATTTATATTCTGTGTTTAACATATATTATAAACAGTATTTCTCCTATATCTGAACTAATTTAGCTCTAAATTTCATTTAATAGTTACTCTTATTTTTTCTGCATTTATGCTGGGGAGTCTTTATCCTGAGTTTTGCCATGTACAGCTTTTTAACTAGTTTAACAATTTATGGGCCTTTTCAAGTGGAATCCATTTGGGTTAAAGACTAGTGGCAATTGATGAAGTGACGTATTGAAAGGGTATCTAATATCAAAATTAATATTTATATAGGGGTAGGCTTAGGGGTAGGATTATGCATCAATTTATGGACAGATGTAAGAATTAGGATTTGTCTTGTTAATTTAGGCTTAATGTGGCTCTCCAGTATTTTAAACTACTTTCAGAATTAAAAAAATGCCTTGCAGTACACAGTATATTGTTACGACAATCAGAGGGTTTATGGAAGATAAGAAGGCAAAATATTTTGTTACACCAACAAGTAAGAAGTCATCCTTTGAGCAGATGCATTTTAAATTATGTTATAATTATCTCTTTTCTTTTTTCTCTCATCTATTTTGACCCGTTTGTTGGCTATACTTTACATTGCAAAATTACCATTTTGAGATTTTTCCCCACACATAATCCTCTTAATGTCCAGAGAAAAACACCTGCTTGTGTAAGATAGCTAAATAAATTAATGACGTTGATCTTCCTCATTGCAGGTGTTTGAGTAATGTAGGATTCTGCTGTGCATTCCTCCATCTCTCTAACATCCTCTCATGGTGCTCCTATTCCTGTGTAAATGCTCTCAAGAGCAAGCTTTGAACCCTTGAAACAAAGTAACAAATAAGAGGGTAAGAGAGATCGATGGAAACACAAGTCGGATGTGGCGGTTAGCAAAGCCAACTTCAAAGAGCCCATTTAAACCCACCATAGATCAAAGTGAAATAGAGCGCCAATCCATGAGATTGAAGTAAAAAAAAGCGAGCTGAATATTGATTAGGCCGTACGTCTCCTCAATCTTGACTATAAAAGAAAGAGTTAAGAGTTTATTATTGGCTCCAAGTGTTATTACAGAAATTAAAAGCTGATAAATTTGCCTGATGTGGAAATTTTCAGTTTAGGAGTGATTGAAAGAATGAACATTGTCACTGAATATATTCTCAGATTAACAAAGCTCATTCCAGTTGGTATTACTGTAGAATATTTCTTAACCTCAGTTTAATTTCAAGTATTTAAATCCTGATTTAATGTTCATATTTCAGTCATATTTTGCTATATTTTCATTTAAATATCACAAATACCTGCAGACAGTTTATTTTTTATTTTTTTATTTCATAAAAGTTACTTACTCTGAGGAATGAGTCAAGGGCGCCATTCTCCATGAACTCGGTGACAATCATCACCGGGCGGCTCTTTGTGACTACACCCTCCAAACGAATAATGTTTGGATGGTCAAACTGGCCCATGATTGATGCTTCAGACAAGAAGTCTCGCCTCTGCTTGTCCACATAGCCAGCCTTCAGGGTCTTGATGGCCACATAGATCTCCCGCTTACCAGGCAGCTTCAAACGTCCCTTGTACACCTCTCCAAACTCACCTGGTTAAAAACAAAGAAGTACAGCACTTTCTTAGTCAAAACCCAGAAGTCATTGATTTCATACCTGCAGTGATGACCGTTTATTTGTCTTGATCACACATTTCTATCTATTTATCAAGGATGGAATGCACTTGTATTATTTTAAGCTGCAAATGCATCTATTCATTTCATGTATGCTGAGTATTATGTTTGCGTTTTCCTTAATGCTGAGGCCCAGCTGACTCATAGTAGCCTTCCATCCTAAAAGACTGCTGAGTCTTCATATTCTTAATTCAAAAAATACCAACCAAGCATTATCTGGCAAGTTTCTGGCACTCATTTGATTAATTATCACTGCCCTGCTGACCTGCAGAGACACCATACAGTGAAATCGACCAAAACGGAAATCCTTAATTAGTTACTCTCCTTGCATTCTTACCTCTACCCTATCTCATTCACTTCCTCACACTTAGCTTGCAGCGCAGGCCAGGGTTCAGGAACTATTATGGGCCAATAACACAGCTACTATTTTAGCATCTATATGAACAACACAGCATGCCCTCTTGGTTGTATAAATCATTTGAAAAGGGGTGTGTAATAAATGAAAAACTGTGCAAAAAATATTTACTATTTTAACCTCAAATAAGTAAGAAGTTTTTAAGCTATTTATTTAACATTTTAAAATTGATTTTACTATTCATTGTGAAACTAGGGTGGAAAAAAGATTTTTGGGTCTGATTTGCGTGCATAGATAAAGTTTTTAAAGCAAGGAAAAATGTTTTTAGAACTAAACCAATACAGGGAAATATAAAATGATTAAAACAGGAAACAGGTTCAAAGCTACTGTATATGTACTTTATATATAATGCTGTTGGGTCTCAGGATAGCTGCCCTATGTATTTCTAGAGCACTTGACATAAGCTTGACTTGACATGTTACCCATCTGATGTAGCTGCTAAAAGGGTTGGCTTTGTGATCCTAAACAGATACAGGCAGAACTTCATTGTATACAGATGTGCATTGCACATACAACACACACAAATACATAAAGGCACAGCAATACGGACAAACCTTTAACACAAACACAAATAAAAAACACTAAAGTGCACAAAAATGTATCCATCCATCCATCCTTTATCTTTTACCTGCTTCTTCCTCACTGGTCACTGGTGCCCATGTCCAGCTATCACTGTGCAAGAGGCGGAGGAGTCCAGCACAGGGACACACATAGACAAACAAGACAAACAACCATTCACTCTCTCACTCACACCTAGGGACAATTTAGAGTTACCAATCAGCCTAACATGCATGTTTTTGGTCTATGGGAGGAAACCGGAGTACCCGGAGAAAAAAAAACATGTATGCAGGCAGCGAACATGCAAACCACCCAGAAAGGCCCCCTGGCTGGGATTCAATCCAATGGCCTTCTTGCTGAGAGGAAGCAGCTCTACCAACTGCACCACCAGGCCACCCCACAAACAAATTGATGCATAAAAACATATTTTGGCCTTACCTGCACCAATAACCTCCTCTATCTTGACAGTGGAGACATCAATCTCTTTGGCGAATTCTCGCACAGCTTCATTGGGGTCCTCGTAGGTGAAGGGGTCAATGTAGATTTTCATTCCCGGGGAGCCTGAGAAGTGGGTCGGGCAGCCCAGTGGGGAGGGGCAGTTAGACATGTCGGCTCGCAAAGAGAGTTCTAGAACAACCAAAGTGTTCAGTGAGCTTTCCAGAAGAAAGTACTGTTGTATTTGATTTGAGTAATCTCTTTTGGATGATGACAAAGCCACTACAAAATCGTAATAGCAGACAATGATATAGACTGTTCTTTTAAGCCCTTCAACCAAGACAAGACAGAATACTTGTGTAAGCAAAAAAAACAAAAAAACATTTACATGCAATGTTTTACATACATAAGATAGTCAAAATGGGTGATTACAGGAACAGCCTCAGTTACAAGAAGAAATACACAATGGTGGTTTGATGATTCCTTTCTTGAAACAAAAACATACAAAAAATTGGGAGAGAAAATGGGGAGATGAGGGCATATAGAAAGCATAAATACAGAGAGCTTTTAAAAAAAAAACTTTTTCATCCCTCACCCTAGCAATATCTGCTCTTTGATCGTGGTAGAACCAATTTTCTAGCAGCCTTTCGCTATAGGAGCTCATAAAGAGATAAAACCACTATGCAATCAACAAGCTCCTTAAGAAACTGTGCAATAGGACAGCAGAGTCCACAGTCTGAAGATGTTTCAGAACAGGTTTTCTATGCTGACAAACTGGGTGGGAGAAACACTTGTAAACAAATTCACTATGCTGCCAAAGCAAGCAACCAGACATCAAGTCATCATCTCTAAAGGGACATCAAGGGGCAGCCTTCTTTCTCAGAGCTGTTCATTTCAGGCATTGGCAGCTTTGATTTGAATAAACCCAGCTCCATCAAGCCAATTTTATGCCTAGTCATTTGCACGGGATACAAAGAAGAAGAATATCTCACGGGACAGAGTAAAGATAAGTTCTAGACTTTAGATCTAGGTGCCTCACCTTGTACTTGATTGTAGTCACCACAATAATTGTCTCAAACCCTATTTACTTGATTGTTAGATATTACTGTATATACTCTGGATTCAAGTTAACATAAGAAAGTTTTTTGCAGTGTATAATTTTCATTTGCAAATGTTGTGGGACATGGCAAAACATCCCACTGGGAACAATACACAACTACAACCATATGGAGTTACAGTCTCAAGCTAAAATACACATAATTCCAAATAAGCAAACACCGACTACTGTCCAATTTATAGCCCCAAATCTGCATTCTTATATAATTTACAATTCAAACACTTTATTTTTCTTCTTCTCAGTGAAACAGCACTGGTTAGCTGGAGCCATCTTGTATGGTCACTGGATAAAAAAAAAGACTCTCACTTTAATATTTTATTGCCTCTTCATCTGAGTGTATAAAGTAAACATATTCAATCATCGTTTCTATTTTTAACTACATAAGAATTTCAACTACTGTGTTGGGAGATGATGCATGGCTGCTACAGTGCATCATGGATTAAATCGTTATTTTATACTTTTCTCAAACTGATGAACAATTAAAACACTCCAATTGAAATGCCACTAGTGGTTTTTGAACACAACTACATCAGCACCCCTTGCCTATGAAACATCTGCTCAAACAGTTAAGATGTTTTGGCATTTCAGTAAATAATACTGAAATGCTAAAACCCACCACAAATCCTTTTCACACAGAGGCTGCATTAAATTAGTGCAAAAAAACACCATCTTTGCCAAGATCCCTGTTTTTTCCCTTTGTTAATTCAAGCAGATTCAACCGACGTGGTTTATCAATGTATGCCTACAGATAGTAAGTCTAAGTGATAAAAATACTGTTAGCCAAAGTCCTGTTTTACACTGCATCAGCTCTCAACAGATGCATACAGATTGTATTCCTTTGCTGCTAGTTATGATGTGACCCTGCATTTAATGTCTTCGTTTTAAATGCAAGAAAGCTACAAACAACAAAATAAAATCAGTCACCTTAAACATGTATAAAAATAATTATTGTTGTAGGAGAAGCTAGCGACCACGTGATAACAGTACTCCTTCAAGGTCTTACCTCCCACACCGCCCAGTCTCATAGAGATAAACAGTAAGGCATGACAATAAATCTACCACTCTGTCTTTAACCCAGAATACTGATAGGAGCTGCTTCTAACATTCCAGTAACACAAACTTCAGGACGCTTTGATTTGATCAGTAGGATCTGTTCTGATAACACAGAAGGAACCGATACAGTATACATCAGATACGATTTGTTGCTGTGACAAATTCATTTAAGTAAAATTTTATTGTAGACCACTTAATCAGTGTTTTCGCAAATGTCTGTCAATGACCTTGCTATTTGTCTGCTATGCTTGTTTACTGAGTGGCCCTAATGTGTCTACAAATCAACCGCACAGGAGAAATGCTCACACTGATCTAATACAGCCACAGGCAAAATCAAATTAGTGGTCATACTTAACAGAATTTAGTTATGGTCTTAAGACAAACAGGACGGCCGTGGTGCAGTGGTAGTGGCAGCCGACCTCTGATCGGAAGGTTGGAGGTTCGAATCCCGACTTCCCACACCATGTGCCGTTGTGTCCCTGGGCAAGACACTTAACCCCGAGTTGCTCCCGGTGGGACTGGATGGCGCCTTGCATGGCAGCCTACCGCCACCGGTGTATGAATGTGCGTGTGAATGGGTGGATGGCTGGTACTGTAAAGCGCCTTGGGGCCCCTCATAGGGGGCTGGAAGGCGCTATAGAAGTAAGCTCCATTTACCATTTACCAGGAATGTCAGTAAATGAAACGTGGCTTCATAAAAGCTAATCTTTTAATCTTTCTTAATTAAAATACTTTCCATACATTACCTTTTCAGCACGGGAACATAATGTATATATATATATATATATATATATATATATATATATATATATATATACACACACACACACACAGATAAATATATATATTTATGTGTGAATGCGTGTGTCTGTATACTTAAGACTTAACTATTGCCTATTATATCACTGTATTGTCATTTATAGTGCTAATGTGCATTTGAAGTCAGCCAAAATCTAATCTGTTATGTGACTGAATACATTATTTCTTGAGTTTTTTTTTTTTTTTTAATAAATAAGAAAAATCATTGTTAGGAGTGAAAACATTTTTTTTCCCCCTGCGACATGTGCAACTTATGCACTTGATTAACTTTGACAATGGGTTTCATCGTTCATCTTTTATTTTGGTTTTATCACATTTGGGAACCTTGTACAATATTTTTTGGAAATAATATGCCTATAAGTTACAAAATTGATAAAAAAAAATAGGAATGACAACAATAATTACAGATACTCATACTTTATATATTCAACTATTTCTGTTCATGCAGTGATTACCTTTTGAGAATTTCAACAAAATTCATTCAGAAGTGCACAAGCTATTTATCTAATGAACAGTTGAACGCATCCGTGTGTACACAGGCAATCACATAGTTGGTAACCTTTCATGACGACAGGCAAAAAACACCTAAAAGTGCATGTATTTTGGGATATAATCGGGGCTTAATATTTGTATTGTAGTTCCGGTTTGGATTGTTATTCAATATGGCCATCAAATAGTAAAAACAAAATTATCTTGTACAGCAATACGATAACAAGTTGTAACATTTAAATTGTGTTTGTATCTATATGCACAGAAATAAAAAAAATAAAAATAAATATACAAAAGCCAAACAATAGTATATTGTTAAGAACTAACTTAAATGTACTAGTGAGGAAAATAAAACAGAAATCAATCTGTTTAGACGTCCATCTGAACAAAATGAACGCTTGATGTATTGTATTTGTTCAGGTGTGGGTTCCAATCTGGTTGTCACAACCTTACACCTGGGTTTGGCTTAATGGTAAAGATTTTACATCAAAGCAATGACGTTCAGTCACATCACAAAATCTACATCATTGCTGAAGCAAACTTTTGTTTGAGGTTGACTGAAAATGAGCAAACACCATAAGATATGCGTGTGACAACATCTGGGGCAGCAGGCAGCTAAGTGAAACTGAGGTTTTGGAGGTTTACCTGAAACAATTGGCTGAGTGGTTCTATTTTATTGCTGCAGTGATAACTGTCATTACAAAAATGTCAGTCAAATCTTGAGAGAATAGAAGCAAACAAAGCACCATGAGGTAGGGGTGTGGGGATGGGGCTGCTTTGTGAGAAGAGGAATTGTGAGGGTTTAAGGACGATAAAGTCTGTGTTCAGGAGTCATCCGTTTTTGTTTTTCTTCTTTGTTTTACTTTAAACATCTGCATTTGCAAGCTGCAAATGTATCAGATATTTTACATTTTTAACTTAAGTAAATTCATTTTGTTAGTTCTTACCCCCCAAAAAATAATTATGACCATAGTGACATTTTTGTGTGTCCACAGCAGCTTTAATGAGCCCCTTAACTGCCAGCGCTGTGGCTTTGACACAAAGTAACTGTGTTGAAACACTTCGCTGTGTCAGGTTCAACAAAACTCAATCCCCCAAGTGAGCTCCTTTACAGACTGCTTAGTTGGCAGTATGTGGGGCTTTCATTTGAAGTACAAAGCCGTATACACATTCTTTGGTGTGCATGTGTGACCGAGTGCGTCCGCAATTATATGGCTGTGCCTCCATGCTTTTTTCCCTCATCAGTCGACGCCCGGAAGGAGCTTAAACATGACTCAATCATGGCTATCAGACCAAAGAGATGCCAGTCAAGGCCTAAGTGTAGAGAAAGGAGAATGCTATTTACATCTACCAGCACCTATGTGTGGGTCATTTGGCTTTTACAATAACTACAAATATGCACTCTATACAACTATTATGTATCTATCTTTGATTATAGGTAATACTTCAGGAGCAAAGCTTTGAACAAATATGAAGGAAAAAACATATACATATCCCTAAAATGTACTGTATGATTCACCTGAAATCAGAAGCAGCATTACCTTGTAATGTTTGAGACATTCTATAACATATTCTTATAACCATTAAATATGACAATAACTGACTAATACATGGATTTATTTAGCAAATGAGAACATCGTCCTACTTTACAACATTTGGAAATTGTACAAAATAAGTTCAACCAATTGCTATTGCCCAATTAAATTGAAGGTAGCACATCATCAAATAATATTGCATATAAAATGCTTGTGTCATGTTAACGCTGCACTAAATTATCAAGGATATATTCATATATATACTTGCAACATAAAAATAAAACAATACAAAACAAAAGGTTGCCAACGATTTGGTGCTGCTCTTGCAATGCCCAAGTCGATGCTCCAAAGTAATTCTTAAATTATCCAACTAATAATTTAGTTTGGCCAGTTTCTTTTTGTCATTCTAAATGAATCAATACTGATTGAAAATGCATCTCTTAGTATTAGAATTAGTTTTAGTAATAATAGTAGTAGTAGTAGAAGTAGTAGTACAGTTGTAGTAGTAAGTAGAATAGCAAAAAGCATGACAACAAAAAGTTAGTAAATAAGCCTACATTTGGTATTTAAAAGTATTTTGTACTTGCTCTCTTAAATGTAAACTATAATAACTTTTTATAAGGACAAACAAAAATCCCTATCTCTAACCATTATAGGGGCAACCTGACCAACATAACAGTACCAGTATGGCCTATTATTAAATGTGTCAATCTGGTCCATGGTCAAGGTGATGGCTATCAAAAGTAAGTAAAAGCACAGTACTGTAAGGAAAATGTAATAACCAGATTTTCAGTTTAACAATCCACTTAAAAAAACAACACAAAACAAAACACAACACAACATTGACTTAATAACCACTGAAATTGTAAACATTAATGTGAACTCACCTCTTCCTGTGCTGTAATGTTGCAGCTTGTCACTGTACACCGCCTCCTTGGTGTACGCTCTTTTCCTAAGGGAGCAGGGAATATTGAGAGAGAACATACGAGTTGACAGGATGAAAAGGGAAACTGTTCGTTGGTTTTCTTTATGGCCTGAAAATGCCACAGATGAAATTGAATCACTTGCAGCGGTTTAGCTGTGGCAAGAGAAGTTTATGAAAATGAGCTGATTTTTAATTAGACCTTGATAGGATCTCTCTCCTTTTCATCTGTCTCTTCTGCCTCAGCATCAAAAGAACCCGGCCTATTTGATGAACACTTGACTTGCTTAAACTTGCACACTGCACAAGAGAAAATTTAACTTCCGTATTTTTTAAGTGGAGCAAGACACGATTTTGACAAATTGACAAACCGATGCAAAATGAAATTCACCTAATAAGGGGAAAGTGGAAGTTGTCAAATTCTCAATGGAATGCCATCTTTTTATAGCAACTTTTTTTTCTTTCTATCACATTTATTGCTTGTTTGGTATCTTCCTTTTGGCAGCCAGCTTTCAACTCACAAAATAGAGAAAGACAGGAGACTGTTCTACTATATAGGCTTGGATATGATATTAGGATTACAAGAATGGCTCTAAAATGGTTTAAATCACATTTACTGGATAGGCTCCAGTTTGTAAATGCAAATAATTAATCTTTTTCAAACACTATAGTCATAGAATTCCTCAGGGTTCAATGTTTGGACCAATACTCTTTACTTTATACATGCTTCCATTAAGTAACGTTATTAAACAGCATGGGGTAAATTGTAATTGTTATGTTGTTGGTAGTTATATTTATCAGTGAAACCCAATTAATACAATCAGTTACTTAGAGTACAAGAATGTCTTAAATACATAAAAAAACTTGACGACTCCTAATTTTTGACTTTAAATTAGGACAAAACAGAAGTTGTGGTTTTTGTACCCGAGTATCTTAGCAATAAAACTTTCAGCCCTTCACTTACTCTTGATGGCATTAATTTGGCCTCCAGTTTATATATATATATATATATATATTCTGCATATGTATATATTGTGCTATTTTTGAACAGGATATGTATTTTA